ACTTCATGATGCACTGAAATATGCAATCTAGCACGGTGGCATTTCTGTAAATACTTCTGAAAAATCCGTATTACACGTGTCTAGTGCAACATGAAGCTATTTCGGTGCAACGCCGTCAAATATTAGTGCAACATGAAACAGTTTTAGTGCAACATGTGCAAAATTTAAATATTACTGCAACATAAAGCCAATTTTAGTGCAACTTCGTAAATCTAATGGTTGAGATTCATTCTCATTTCTCACATTAGATGCATTTCTCACCTGAACCAAAATCTATATATATATATATATATATATATATATATATAGAGTAATCTTCCGCTCAGGTATACCTGACTAGAGCCGCCGTCCGGCCTCCTATTTTTGGGGGCCTTCCCGGTGGTATTTTTTGCTCAAAGTTTTTGTGTATGTTACTCATCAAGTCTAGTTCATCCATACCAAATTTCAGAAAAAAATTCAATTGGGAAGATAGTCAAATGATTTTTGCAAGTTAACTGGTCCGGAAAATACATATTCCGGACCAGTTAACTTGGAAAAATCATTTGACGACCTTCCCGATTGAATGTTTTGCTAAAATTTGGTATGGATGAACTAGACTTGATGAGGAACATACACAAAAAATTTGAGCAAAAAATACCACCGGGAAGTCCCCCAAAAGGAGGAGTCCGGACGGCGGTTCCTGTCAGGTATACCTGACAGGAACGTTTGTGTGTGTGTGTATATATATATATATATATACACACACATACATACATATATGTATATATATATGTATATATGTTGCTCCCTAAACAAACTAAATAAGAAAACACAAATATTGCCGATGATTTAGTCTATTCAAAATTAATACTAGAATATTGACTATCCAAATATATTTCTTCCCATAATAGTCCACAATCTTCTTTTCTTCTCTTTATCTCAGGTCATGGCGACACTGCAGATTCGAGTGACGAATCTGAGTGATTGCCTAACGAGTAATATGCACCGACGATGCCCGACATTAGCTAGGTTCAGCTAGATTTAAAGGGGCGAATTACATCCTAATAGAAGCGGCGTCTAGTTTCAGGGGCAACACAGGGGTCGGTGGCTATGGATTGGGGACGAGGACGGGGAGAACAAACAGTCGGGACCTGGATCAGGGGTTGGGAAAGGGGCATGGTACAGTGACGATGGTCGAAAAATTGCCGGGGTGGGAGCGGGTGTAGGGGCAGTGGTGGTTGTGGTAGCTGGGTAGGCTGAAATGACCATTTATTGACCACTAGGTCACTAAATAGTGGCAGGGTTTGGGGTTGCTGGGGTATGGGGCAGGGCGTAGGGGAAGGGGCCATAGCGGTGGGCGGGAGTGGCAGGCGAGCATATTTTGTTGAAAATCATGTTGTAATTGTGAACAGGTGGTTAATGGCCGGCTGTGGAAGTCACTGCGGACGACAGTGAGTGATCGGGACGACGACAGATGGACAACAGTGACAGGTCAGGTCAGGTAACTGTATCTTGTCGGATTAGGTAATTGTAATTGATCGGGTTAGGTAACTGTAACTGGACGAAATGGTCGGGTCAGGTAACTACAATTGTTCCGATAACGGTAACTAGCGAGTCGGGTAATTGTAACTGACGACAACAAGTCACTGGCAGATTTCGGTCACTGACGAATGTTTGGTCACAGTAGTGTTAGTGTGTTACTGTACCACTAGTGAATGAGATTATATTTTCTTTTTAGTCTCATTTTTGGAAATTCAATAAAAAGGTCACTTGTTTGCCCATAACTCATTTTTTAGTAATATCTTTAACATAACTCATGCAATAAAACTATCTAATAAAGGTCATGAAGTAAAATAAAAAATTACTTTGTTTTATTATTTAAATTACTTTTGTTGGTAAAAGTAACAACATAAGTATCATATAAAAAGAGAAAACATAACTACAAAATGTTTGTCACAGATGTAAAGCGGAATCATCAATAATCATTTCATAATCAACCTTTTTCAATAATAAAAATTACAAATAATAAAAGAATATAAAATTGCATAGGCTCTACAACTCAATATAACAAGACAATAAAAATGCCACATATGACAACACTAAACATTGATTCCAATACATTTGAAAGGATAAATGAAAAAAATATTATCAAATTTATAGATCCAGAATGATTTATGAATCGCTTCGAATTGAAAGTTTGAAGCTTTGACAGAATGAGAGAGTGAAGATTTCAAAGAGACAAAAGAGTTTGGCCGCCGTTTGAGCTCCGCAAGAAGACTGCAAGTTTAAAGTCCTCTAAAACTATTCTTAGGAATTTGGATATTGTCTGTTGGTCACTTTGTTTGAAATTGGAATTTGAATACAATTAGGATGTGATTTGGAATTTGGGAGGCACTGGTTGCATAATGACAATAATATAAATTTGTATTTTTGTAATTAAGGATGTTTTTACACGGATTGGAATTTTCTGGTCTGATATGGTCTGGTCTGGTAAAACGTCCAGTCTCTGTGTATTTTATAGCTGTCCAAGTCTGGTCTGATTTGATCTGATCTGGTCTGGTCTGGTTTGTCTGAATACAGTCTTAGTAAAAACATCCTAAAAGGAGCAAAAAAACTTAAAAGTTAATGATATTTGAAGAGACATGTATTTCATTGTTTGTATTGCTTTGAAGAACTACAACCAGCCTTACTTAAAGTTAATTTATATTCTTTTTAAACTTGACTCCGTTTAAGATTTCTTACTTTCTATTCTAAAAAATTTAAGTTGTCACAAAAATTAAACATGAGGCCAAAATGCCTAATTAATTAATCTTAAAAATAAAATAAGAACTACTTACACTATATATATAGTACCTCCGTTCTTAAATAAATGCAACATCCTAAATTTTACACTATTCACGTGTTCTACTTTGACTACGATTTATTTGTTAATGTATTAATATATGTTTTTGAAAAAAATACAGTTAAATTTGTCTCATGTATATTTTTAAAATCTAATTTTTCAATTTTTTTAATAATAGAGATTTATATATATATCAATAGTCAAAGTTGTGTCTCGGCAAGTGTGAAATGTTGACCGTTGCATTTATTTAAGAACGGAGGAAGTATAGAAACAAGCCTAGTTTTGCTTCTATTTTTTCGGTCCCAGGGCAATCGCCCATGTTGTTCCCAGGGCTAGCCCTAGTTCAGTCACCATTGACACCGACACCTACTGCTTCAGTTTTCATCCTCAATTTCTTGAATTTGATACAAAGGAGAAGTCATCACTATTAATTGATTAGGAAGAGTATGAGACAGTCAGACAAAGTTTTCTACTTGATAATACTCAAGTATCTTTTTTTTAATTGATTTTATTCATCTGATGTGATGTATATCTGGGTCACCATATGGACAATCCGACAATCCACATATGAAGTTTTCTTTTTTAAATGTAAGGGGCTTATATTAATATAACAAGAACAAGACAAAGTACATCACAACTAGAAATCACAGTTTGATCATACGCTCTTGACCATGGACCAGATTTTGAGCCAATCACTCACGCAGGAGCAATATGTTTCGTTAATCCTCATACGGGCACATGTAAATCATCCATGATCGGTCTAAAACTCTCGCCACCATAGAAGATATACAAAAAATAAAGTAGAATATATTGAATCAACCATAACTACTAAAAATAATTAAAGGGTGCATTTGTAAGAAAAAATATAGTAATGAGTCATCAATGTCTAGCCATGCCGCGCCCTAGCCTGATTCATCTTGATCTGTCATGAGATTGATGAGCATGATGACATTTGAGTAAATCAGATCTAGGGTTAGAGCACTGATGTAATGACTTTGCTAGGAATTTGAACAATAGCGAGATTTCTCGTTCGTCCGCAATTTCAACTAATAAGACTCATAACATCGCCATCACCCAACACTCCTGCCTTGAAGCACGGAAAAAGTAAATCCGCCAGACAGGATTTGTCTTAAAATAAATCACCAATAAAACAACACCTAAACTTCTAGGTACAACCCGCCACTCATCCAAGACTATTATATTAAGCTATATCCACGTATGAAGTCAAGGGGGGAAACTTATTGTTTATCTGCTAATTTGTCAATTATGTTCTTTTAATACTTAAGGACATATCTATTGATGTAGAAGTAAGAGAACTTAAATAACTTTATATCTGATAAGGGATAATGATCAAATTGGACATTATGGTTATATGAAAATCTCATATTGGACACTAAGATTTGATATGGACCAAATTGGACATTGTGGTTACTTGTGTATCTCATATTGGACACTAAAGTTTCAAATTGATCAAATTTTATGTTTTTCTGGTTATTTTCGGACACCCACCAAAGATTTTCACCTTGAAAGGTTCAAGTATTCTTTTTTCTCTTGGTTTTATGTACCTAAAAACTAAAAATAACTTAATTTGTGTATTTAGATTTAGAATATATAATTAGAAGTTCCAATTAAGAAAATCTATTACTCCGTATAATGTAATTGAATTCTATAATATTGTTAAATTAATTTAACAAATCGATATTTCTTAAAGTTCCATAAAAATCATATGATTGAAAAGTCCTAAATATATTTTTTAATTGTTAAATATAAGAATTTATTAATTAAAATCAAAATATATATTCTAAAACTTCAAATTAAATGTTCCAAAATTATATACGTAATTAAATTAGTTTAGTTTCACCAAAAAAAAAGAAAGGAAATACTTCGTATAAGACTAACAATTTTTATTAAAGGAAGAAGATTGAGAATCATAAGTGGATGTCCAAAAATTATGAATTATGAAAATTCAGTGTCTAATATGAGATACATATGTAATCATAATGTACAATTTGGTCCATTTGAAACTTTAATGTCCAATATGAGATTCTCCTAAAATCAGTGTCCAATTTGAGCCTTATACCTTTGTGATAATAATACAAGAGTTTATTTGATTGTCTCCCTAACAAAAGCAAAGATATAAAAATATATTCTTTGTACTATGAGTTTTTGTATGGTTACGGGAGAAAGCCCCATGCTTTTATTTTTGTTTACTGCTCCAGTCCCATGAACTTTCGTTTACAAATCCTTTCTCACATTAACAATTTTAATCGCAACAATGGTGGTTAGCGCTAGAAACCTAAGAAGTTTAAGAAAATGCCAGCAATCCAACTGCCAGAATGAAACACGCGAACTGATAAATCACTTCTCGACCGCCATGCCCATTGTTTCTCGGCCTAAGTGGGAACTCCGGTTAACAAACCACACCATTCGCGCTTTGATCCGAAGCGGCAGGCTTGAAGATGCACGAAACATGTTCGATAAATTAAAGCAGAGAGACATTATAACGTGGAATTCTATGATCATGGGTTACACGCAGCGCCTGGAAGTAGTGACTGCTCAGAACTTGTTCGATCAAATGCCTGAGAGAGACGTTGTTACATGGAATTTGATGATTTCGTGCTACATGTCTAGTCGGAGGACTGAATACATAGAATATGCAAGATACTTGTTTGATCAAATGCCCAGGAGAGATGTCATTTCCTGGAATACGATGATAAGTGGTTATGCGAAGATTGGGCAAATAGATGAAGCATTGAGGCTTTTTTATTGTATGCCTGAGAAGAATGTGGTGTCTTGGAATGCAGCTATTTCCGGACTTTTGCAGAACGGGGATGTAAAAGCTGGTATTGAACTTTTCAAGAGAATGCCAGAAAGAGATGCAGCTTCTTTCAGTGTACTTGTTTCAGGATTGGTTCAGAACGGGAAACTGGATGCTGCTGCAAATGTACTGTACGATTTTCAGACAAGTGGTGATACAATCATTGATCTGGTTTATGCTTATAACACCTTGATTGTTGGGTATGGTCAGAAGGGCATGATCAAAGAAGCTAGGTGCCTTTTTGATCAAATACCATGTTATACGAGCAAGGGTAGAAGTTTTGGGAGAAACATAGTATCGTGGAATTCAATGATCATGTGCTATGTAAAGGCTGGGTACATAAAGTCTGCCAGGAAGCTTTTTGATCGAATGGTCGAAAAGGACACTGTTTCTTGGAACACGATGATTAGTGCTTATGTCCACACCTCAAATATGAAAGAAGCTTCAAAACTACTCACTAAAATGCCAAATCCAGATATATTTTCATGGAATTTAATAGTCTCAGGATATGCACAAGGAGGCAACTTAGGACTTGCTTATAAATATTTCCAAAGGATACCCAAGAAGACATGCGTCTCCTGGAACTCTATTATAGCAGGATGTGAGAAAAATGCAGACTATGAAGGCGCTATAAGACTTTTCGTTCAGATGCAACTGGAAAGAGTGAAACCTGATAAGCACACATTATCTTCACTTCTAGGTGTGTGTGCAGAATCTATAGATCTGCATCTTGGTATGCAGATTCATCAGTTGGTGGCAAAAAGTGTTCTACCTGATGTGCCCCTAAACAACTCCCTCATTACTATGTATGCCAAATGTGGGGCTATAGTGGAAGCAAGGTCCATTTTTGACAAAATGAAGTTTCACAAAGATGTGATATCTTGGAATGCCATGATTGGAGGGTATGCAGCCCATGGCCTTGCAAGAGAAGCATTTGAACTTTTTAACACAATGAAGGAGCTTAATGTGAAACCAACTTATATTACATTTATTGCAGTTCTTTCTTTATGTGCTCATGCAGGTCTGGTGGAAGAAGGCCGTTTCCAGTTCAAATCCATGGTCTACGAATTTGGTATTGAACCAAGGTTGGAGCATTTTGCGTCTCTAGTGGATATTGTAGCCCGTGATGGTCGAATTGAGGAAGCCATGGGAATAATAAAGAATATGCCGATTGATCCAGATAAGGTTGTGTGGGGAGCATTATTAGGTGCTTGCAGAGTGCATAATCATCTGGAGTATGCAAAAACAGCAGCTGAAGTGTTAATGGAGCTTGAACCAGAGAGCTCTGGCCCTTATTTACTGCTATACAACATGTATATTGAAGCTGGAAGATTGGATGAAGCAAATGAAATTAGGATGAGGAGGGATAGAAATAGTGTGAAGAAACAATCAGCATACAGCATTGTGAATTCTATCCATCCTTAATTTTTTTGTCCAATTGACATCCTTGTTACAATTACTACATGTAGAATGGATGCCTGCACATTTGACTATGCCTTACAAGTACTACATGTGGAATGGATGCCTGCACATTGGCTATACCATCACGTTTCCCCAGCATTTGGTAACCATGTTGGGCTCCAGCTAGACAGCTAGTCTACTCCCAAACTGATTGCAGACACTAATTGGAAGTAGGGTTCAAACCAAACTGAAAACCGAATCGATACATCGGTTTTGAAGAAAACCCCAAACTGAAATTGAATGTCTAATTTGGAACTGAAATTCTTGGAGCAGTTTTGGGTTCAGATCGGCTTAAACCATTCAGAAGTCGGGGGAGTACTCCGCTTCAATCACGAAGCTCTAGCTGATGTGGCTCAATAAAAGCCTTTGGTCTCAGTCAACATGACTAATTGACAGACATGGATAATGCTCTGTGTCCATTGCAAATGTGAGTAGTTTCCAGTTTTCTGAAATAACATTTCATTAGTTATTTTCGTTCAAGCTAAAGCGTTTTGGTATTTTAAAGAAAACTAATGTCCTATACAATATTTATTCAATTATTCTGAGTTTTTTTTCATGTATTTAAAACAAATGTACTATGTGTAGTTACACCCCATTGGTATAGAGATACATCTGGCGTATCATTTCCTAATTTTCCTCTCCAGCGGTAACCTTTTTGGATCTTGCTCTTAAATATTAGACGCTGATAGGAGGAACAGAAGACTGGCAGGTGGCACATTGCCACGAACCTCTGGTTAGCGGAAGCAAACATACAGGAATTCAAAGAAATAAAGTGTGCATCGTAGGTATTAATAATATTCAATGTTTTGTACATGGCAGAGAAATAAGCACATGCTTATACAAGTCTAGAGTTTTGAACTCTTAACTAATGAAAATCTGGTACATGTATTGCAGGAAAATAGAGCTGTCTTTTATACTTCCCAGAAATTATTATTCACTGCTTTCACAGTCCAAGATATTTGGATACTACATACTAGTGTTGGGTATATTGATCATGTCCCAACTATGCAAGTGTAATCCAGTGACCTTAGAGTGCAATTCCAAGATCGAGCCTATCTCTATATCCCACTGGACAGTAGTATTCCTTGACCCGTATGGCTCTTTTATGAATATACTAGTTTTTTCGCTTGTGTGTAGCACCAGATAATCAGTTTTCCTATTTAGTTTTCTCTATAATAATCATAATGGGTACTTGAATGACTAGTTTTGGTGAATATTAAAAGGGAAAATTACTAAATAACCCCCCGTTATGTATTGAAAAGTGCAAGTAAACTCTGATACTTCAAAATCACCCAATCAAATCCTCAAAGTTGTGAAAAAAAAATCAATCAAGAAATTTAGACAGCCAGCAATTTTCTTTCCTGATTACTTGTGTGACTGACCATGAGACCTTATTATTTTCTTCTTCTTTTTTCATTGTTTTCAATTTTAAATAGTCAATCCCTTCCCTTCTTCTCAAAATAAGAAGACCACTACCTTACTCTCACCAAGCTCAACTAGAAGACCGTTACTTTACTCTTATAGCAACCACATCCTCCTAAGGATAAGCTATATCCTCATCACCCTCATCAGTAGTCTTGGACTCGGTTCGGGCCACCTGATCCGGGAACCGGCCCGGCCCGGTGCTTCGGGCCCGATACTGGTCTTTGACCCGGACCGTAGGTAGGAGCGGGGGCAGGCTCGGGCTGAAGAAAAGGTGACCCGGCCTGGCCTAGCCTGGCCCGGTTTGAGACAATTTTTTTTTTTTTGGTTTTTTCAATTTTTTTTGGTTTCCCCGGGTTGGGCTGGGTGTTTGGGGGGGGGGGGGGGTTAGGGGGTAGTTAGGAAAGCAAAAAAAAATTATAATCTGGCACGAGGCCCGAACCGGACCCGATGGAAACCCGGGCCGGTCCGGTCGGGCCTAGGCCCGACCTGACCCGACCCGAGGCCATGCCTACTCATCAGTAAACCTGCAAAACATGTTGGAATAATCAATTCTGGAGCTTCGGAAGTCCTCCACCAAGTCACCAACGCTCCTGTTCCCTCCTCGAGATTAGAAAGGTCAGTAACTGTATGGACGACATGTGGGACAGTTCAAAAATCTCAGCATAGTTCTAGAACTTAGAAGGGTCTGAGCAGTCCAGCTCCTCGCTTCTTCCGGGTGGAGGAGAAAATGTACTTGTACGCATTTTAGCTGAAAATGAGACACCATTGGAATCTTTGCTCATATATGTAGAATGAATTTGTACGAGTTTGTTGGTTTCATTCAATGGGGTATATAGGCTGAATGATATAGTGTATATTGTGATATATAAGCTGAATGTTTATTATAGAGTATATACAAGCACACACCCAATTTGGTCTATCTGTTGATGAAGGCAAGATAGCAGAGCTAGAAGTTGATGGAGGTGTGTAACTCGTTTTGAATTTTTTTAAACAAATTCATGTGTTTGATATATAATAGAAGGATTTATTGCAGTTTTTTTTCTTTTTAAAATAGAATATTGAAGAAGTAAAGATAACCAATTAACGGAAATAATATTTCTTTTAGATGCATGTTTTTGCACATTATAGTTGTTTTGCACATTTTTGTCATGTGTAATTTTAGGAGGAAAAAATATAAAATAATCGCATATATATTACTAAAATAAAGGTTGTTTACTATTGAATGCTCACAAAAAAAAGTGATTAATGAACGAATAACTGATTAATCCTCATAATTTATTACATACTTTTTATATAGTAACTAAAAGAAACATACATATGCAACAACAAAGACTCCTATGGATTTGCAACCTGGCCGAGACTGGTCGGTGTTTATTCAGGACCGGGTTATACATTAGACCCATTGAACTGGATGATGTGCAACTGGAAATTGGTAATTTGCTCAAATCCCGGCTTCTTCCAAGCCGGTTTATACATCACACCATTGAACCGGAGATGCAAATTAGCTCGAATCCCGGCTTTTTCCAAACCGGTTTCTTAGAACCGTCCTGCACCATTTAACTATCCCAATTCTCCCGACTCCTCCCTTCCTCGACCGGACCCTTCCCATACAAGTAACATGGGGAGAAGCCGGTTCAGGCTGCTGCTGCATGGCCAAATTCCAAACCGGTTCAGACTGGCTTCTGAACAGGCTCACCCCATTACTCCGGTGGTTGCCATCCGCCGCTCTGGACTTCTGAGTAGCTGGAAAAGCAATGCGTGAAAGACTATGCATCCGGTTCAACGACGCCCGAGAGCTCTTCATGCCGTGACCGGAGTCACGGGGAAACACCAACTTCCGGGAGGTTTTCCGGAGGACGGTTGCATTTTGGTACAACCAGTCCTTCTCAGAAACCACCGGGATACAAAAAGATTCCGGTGGCAGGTCAAAGTAGCCTTCCCCGTTAGAATCAGTCAGGCCATCATCATGTGGTGACCCAAGGCTTTCTTGCCGATCATCATTGTGAACAGCTTCATCATCTTCACACAAATTATTATGGGATTCAAGAGAAGACATATACACAGTATATATTAGTACTATTATATTCTTATACGAAGTATATTTTATTATTGTTCTATTAACATAGTAGTACTATGACAGAGGGAAATGCTGAGATAGAAAAACTTAAAAAGTTAAAAGCAATTAGAAATATAGAGAAGCACGTTTATATGATGGGAATTTCGGAAAGAGGTGGATTTATGGGAAGTGAGGAGTAAGTTATAAACTATTAACCATAAATAGATTTTTATTGTAACCTATGATGGTAAAAGTATAAAATAAGGTTTTAAATATTCTTTAATTAATATTTTTTCTATTTTAAGTGTTTTTTACTTTCTCGGGTTCTATATACTATCGTAAATAATCAATTAATGAAATCGTTTTAACTTTCCTAATAGGCTAATACTACGGTCTACTTATAGGGGAATGTTTGGAATAATTGCCACAATATCACTAATTAACTTTTCAATTCTAAAATTATGACTTAGTTTTCTTTTTCCTAAAATATGAGTTGGATAACCCAGCTCTCCTCCCCTAATTTCCAAATTCACAATTCGTAGCCCTCCTTCATCCATCGCAAACTCCCCATCTCCACGCCTCGCAAACTTCATCCATCGCACCTTTGAATTCTCCATCACTCCTCGACCGCAAGCAGCATCCACCAACAACGAAGATCGAGGCGTCATCCGCCATGGCCGCCACCGCTGGTTAAGACTCCCTCGAAGGCCGCCGCCGCCGGTTCAGGCTTCCTTGATGGTCGCCGCCGCCGGTTCAGGCTTCCTTGATGGTCGCCACCGCCGATTCAGGCTTCCTCGATGACCGCCGCCACTGGTTCAGTCATCATCGATGGTCATCTCCACTGCTAGATTCGCCGTCCTCAATATATAGATCTGCGGCGTCGGCTAGGGTTACAAGAGGCGGCGGCAGTTTCGTGGCCGCGACGGACTCGCGATTGTGTGGGAGCAGGGGGTGTTTGCGACGGCTAGGGGTGGGGGTCGCGATTGTGCAAGATCTGGTCGGGGTTGGGGGTTGTTATGAGGGGTGGGGATGCGGACTGGGGGCTGGGTGATGCAGGGAAGGGGGTTGGGGTTGGTGTATGTGAGGGGCTGGGATAACAGTCAGCGATGGCGGCAGGCAATGGTGGGAGGTGGTGGTTTCCAGCGGTGATGGAGTTGGGCGAGCAGTCACTATGGCCCGCCGACATGCAGTCAATGTGGTAGGTGGGCAGGCAATCACTGTGGCCGGTGGATGGCAGTCACTGTGGCCGGTGGATAGCAGTCATTGTGGCCGGAATCGGTGTCAGTGTGTCACTATGGCCGGAGTCACTGTGGCGGCGAAGTCACTGTGGCGGTAGTCACTGTGGCGGTAGTCACTGTGGCCGGAGTCACTTTGACCGGAGTAACTGTGGCGTCGGAGTCACTGTGGCGACGGAGTCACTGTGGCCGGAGTCACGGCGGCGGCGGGGTTGGTGGCGGCGGCGGTGATGGTGGTGGTGCTGGGTTGGCGGCCAGAAAGGTGCTGGTAGTAAATGGAATAAAAGGAATATTGAAATAATAAAAAGAATATTGAAATAATAAATGTATATTAAATAAAAGGAATAAATGACTTTTAGTCACATTTTTAGAAAAATTTAAAACAAGTCACTTTTTTATCATTTTCCTTCATTTTAGTAATATTGGAATAAAAAGGCCATTGATTATGCTTTTGCTTCTTTTTAAAAAGCAAAAGCATAATCAGAATCAGTTTTTCATAAACGGGTCTCTCCCAACTTCTAAAAAATTGCTTCTGTGAGCAATTAGGAGCACTAGTACTTCTGCATTTTTATCCAAACACTTCAATATATGTTTTTGCTCTTTCAAATAGGAAAAGCAGTTTTAAAAAATAGATCCTACCACAGTAGCCTTTATTTTGTTGACTGCATCAACCTCTAGCAAAAAAATGAATAATGGTACTCATTGATCGAGTTTTATTTATTTAATAATAGGAGCAGTTGGGAAGAACATACTAAAAATGCATTGATAATATATAGATCAGAGTTAAAACGTATAAATGAGATCATAACTATTCATATTAGTGAATTCTAAAAAAAAAACTATTCATATTGGTGCACTTTTATATCTTGATTATTGAATCAAATGAATTGCAAATCTAAATACATTTATCACCCATTTGATATCACTGACATTTGCTGAATAAATTAATTATGTTGAAACTAGTGAAGTTTTGGATGAAATGCATGGCTGGATTGATTGAATTTGCTCAATTATGAAAAATAAAATTTAAAATATTTTTTATTAAAAAAAATTAAAGAAAAAAATCATATGAAAATAGCAAAAATGATCATCTACAATAACTTAAGTCAAATCAACAAGAAAAATAATTTCAACCTTACTTATCCAACCATAAAAGTAACTTAAACCTTACACAAATCAGCGTGCGAAATTAAAAGTTACATATTTGGTGGAAAAAATTGAATGATAAGCCAAAAAAAGGCGGTTACCAGAGCTCTTAGTTCATGTTTGGGAGGCATGAATCCCTACCTTTTAGCTTTTGTACTATTTATTAAAAGTCTTTATTATTTTTCCATCATTTGTAATGATGGAGCCAAAGACTCACTATTTTTTAGCTTGGTAATGTGATGAAATTAAACAAAATAACTTACTAAACTGTCTGCGTTTCTTTGTTATGAAGCAACAGTCAGTCCATACAATTTTTTATGCAATTTTCAATATGGGTCATCCGGGAACAGTCTCTTTGCACTTTAGTACAGGGGTAAGACTGCGAACATCCCCCCCCCCCCCCCCACTCCCCTTCCGGTCAGGCCTTCTTGTCTGGAACCGCTGTCCGGACGGCGGCGTTTGGGCCCTTTTCCAGGTGGAATTTTTTGATATAATTTTTTGAACATGTTCTTCATTAAGTCTAGTTTATCCAAAAAAACATTTTAGCTAAAAATTCAATCAGGTAGGTAGTCAAATCATTTTTTAAAGATAATTGCGCCAAAATATACATATAAAACGCAATTATCATCCAAAAATTATTTGATTCTTCTTGATTGAGTTTTTAGCTGAAATTATTGTGGATAAACTAGACTAGATGAAGAACATGCCCAAAAAATTCATCAAAAAATGTCACCTGGAAGAGGCCCAAACGCCGCCGTCCAGACGGAGGTTCGGAATTCCGAACATGAAATTTTCTTTGTTTGACATGTCAATTTTTAAGAGTTCTTTTTAAAATAAAAGATCTTTTTTGAGATTTCACACTAAGTTTTCAATTTTTAGCATTAATTAGTCACAACAGCTTGTATACTCAACAAACCTAAATTAGGATGTTTTCTTTTGGACTGTTTTCAGTCCCAGACCAGACCAGACCAGACTTAAACAGACCAGACCAGACCAGACCAGACTTCAACAGACCAGACCAGACCAGACCAGACGTAAACAGACCAGACCAGACCAGACTTCCGTAGTTATAAAATACACAGAGACCAGACGTTTACCAGACCAGACCAGACCAGTTCAGACCAGACCAGACCAGACCATACTTAAACAGACCAGACCAGACCAGACTTAAACAGACCAGACCAGACCAGACCAGCAAATTTCAGTCCAAAAGAAAACATCCTTAAACAATCAACATTTTAATACTTGTTTTGTTTTAAGCTTAAATTAAACAGTCAACTTTTTAATACTTTTAGGGTGGGGAGGTTGACTGTTTAATTTAGGTTTGTTGAGCTATATTAGACAGCTATTACCTTTTTCTTTTAAAGTTTTTTTAGTCACTAAAAGCTTACAATTACTTAAAAGTTCATAAAAATATCTTTTCATCTGCTTGTGCCAAGCATACCCTTATTATTTGGTAATGCACCATTTTGATGTCCTGGTCAAAAAATGATTTCACTTGATAGGTTTAATATTGTTTTAGTCCGTGTAAATATGGCACACTTTGTTTTAGGTCTCTGCAAAATATTTTCTTTATTTTTCATCCCTGTAATTTGCACTATTTTGGTTTTAGTCCATCTCTAACTCCGAAACAACTCGACTTTGAATTTTTTCTATTGTTAGTTGCATAAATATACTAGAAACATTTAAATTTATCAGCTTATAATTTTTTTAGGCTAATAAGAGAATTAAAACAATATTAAAACTAATTATTCGCATTTTTAAAATATGTATTAAAAACCCTCAAAAAATTGAAATTAAATATTTTTTGAATGACATGACAAAGAATTAAAGGATATCTTTTAGTCGGGATTGTTTCATTCTCAAGCGGAGGTTGTTATCATTAATCATGAACTAAAAAGAAAATCCATGAATTTCAAGCATGAAAAAGAAAGAAAATATATTGCGGGGATCTAAAAGCAAATTTAAACCTACTTGATAATTAACTAGCTTTAACTTTACGTGTTTGAGACAAAAAGTGTACTTAATTATTTTACCAAGTCAATGAGATATGAGATCGTAAATTCGTAATGAGCCAATTGCGATTCCGATATGTTGCAATGACTAGATTAATTAGTCACATTTCTGTTTTTTAACATTAGTCATATTAGTCGATATGAACTTTCAATAAAAGTTTGTGGGGAAAGTATATTGAGTTCAGACTGTTTTTCCCAATAAATTCGATCAAATTTTAAGAGGTACCATGAATTGAAACATTTCGATACAGCTAGGTACTAATTTGCCTGATTAATAGTTGAGCTATCAAATCGTATTGATACCATTACTTGTGCATCTAGTTGTGCTATTATCCCAATTAACACAATATTGTGTAATCCATTTTGGCTTAAGGTTGTCATTGAAAAAATGATTATTTTAACACATGAGAACAACTTAAAAGGATTAATACTACGAGTACTACGTATATAAAAAGGGTGCATCTTCTTTTAAGTAGTTCATTTACTAAGAACTTCAAGTGAAAGTAGTCTATAAATGAGTGACTCAATTGAAAGTTTCTTTGTGCACACACGAGTAAGAACAAATTGCACGATAAAAGCTTGTGTTAATTTGAAAAAACAGTACTCGATACGGAGTGTATTCAGGGGTAATGACCATAGCTTGGACCCTACGCAATCAGGGGTATTTGATTATTATGTTTTCATTTAAGAATGCTAATTATTATTTAAAATATAAATGTAAATCTTTAGTTGGGATATCCAAAGAAGGTACGTGATAAGTTTAAATTCGGATGGAGGAAGTATATAAGATCACCCTATTGTATGGAATAATGAGAGGGGCATTTTATAGTGAACTTGGCTAATGTTGGGAATAAAAAGGATTGAACTAATATGAGAGAGAAATATTTATATTACTTTCAAGAATAAAAAGAAGAGACATATTACACAACTCGTCTTGATTTTGCTATGATGATCTAATATCCGAT